ATTGAATTCCAAAAATAATGGTCCAGTTTTTTTTATTTACGACTATATTTTGGCACTGATAATGTTTCTCGTCGTCTGTGGCAATGGATTGCAAGCCATCAAAAATGGATTGAAACTTGAGCCAACCGTCAGAAGCATACAGTCAACAAGATACCAGGGCATACAATTTCCAGGGCATACATACAACAAGATACAAGACATACAGCAACCAGATAACGAGACTGATTCCGTTCAGATAATGAAAGTGCCGAAGAAGGCGACTTTGAAGTAGTTTATTGCAGGACATGCATGACCATATCGGGAAAATCAATACGAGATCATGACTGGCGCGTCTGGATCTACGAGCCTGGTGCAGTACTGATGGTTATACGGCATAAAGTTTCAGTTTCTAATAAATTGTTAAAACTGTTTGAAAGCAGAGGTCCATGCAACGTGTAGATATAACTGACTGGTTCCTCCTGCCGGATCTCTAATCAAAGAGATGCTGTAGCCAGACGTCACTTAAAGTGTGAAGTAAAACAAAACTGAAGTTAAGGCTGGCACTACGGCAAAGGGCTGATTTATTATAGGCCAATATTTCGGCTAACAAAATTACCCTTCCTCAGGGCCAGAACTATACCGAGAGAAAATATCTTTTAACGGCTCCTAAAATTTGAATTCAAAATTCACATAAGTGGTTAATAATTAACTACAATTATTAATACTAGATAGAATAATGTACATTTAATGACTATACAAAAAGAGGAGTACCTCATAGATAGAGGTAGTGCGAGCCCTGCATTCAGTTCTCTTTTAAGAAATTGTGCTAGTGGCAGAGTTCATGTAAATTTATACCTTGATTTTAGCATGGCCTACCCCCAAAAGTAATTGACTTGCTGAAGGAAGAAAAATTCGGGTGATGATGGAATAATATTGGCTGTAGGAACGGTGAAAGTTAATAGCTAACCAAAATTAGCAGTTAACTGAGAATTGGCCAAAAAAATAGCAGTTAACAGGAGCCCATCACTCCTGCAGTTAACTGATATTTGACCGAAAAAATTATAGTTAACTGAGAATTGGGTACCCTCATTAGCACCCTCTATTTAGAACTATTGTTTACAAACATTGTTTTTGTTATTCAAATGTAAGAGAAGTATGACACAACACCACTTTTGTTATAAGATTTAATGCGCATTGATCCGTTGAATGTGCTTGCGTAAGCTTGGGTCAGCTGTTCGTTTATTTTCAAACTCGTTTCCAGGACCTTTTCGTTTAGCCAAAACCTCCTGTCCCACCTAGTGAGTCACCCAGTGACAGTCCCACCCCGTAAGAGTAAAACACTGTCTTCTTGTTGCGAGGCAAAATGGCGGCTGCCGGCGAAGGAAGATGGCCAAACAAAAAGGAGCAATATGAGCTTCAGGAAGTCATCGGTATAGTTTTGAAGTTTTGATTTGCATTTCCAAGATAAGGCGATGTTTAAAGCATGATTCTTTTCGCTTAGGGTACGGAGCAACGGCAGTTGTCCAAGCCGCAAAGTGCATACCACGTAATGAACGAGTTGCTGTGAAGAGAATCGACTTGGAGAAATGTGGAGCAAGCATCGATGAAATGATGGTAAGCTAGCTCGTGCTTTGAAAATGTGCAAAATGATTTGGAAACGCTGGGTGTTAAAGTGCAAAGAACATGCTTCAGATAACTGCGTGAACTTGGTTTCATTACGAGCCGGCCATTTAATAGCGTCATTAGTACCTGTACATAGTGTATGCTAGCTTTTTAATTTTACGACGTATGAATGGCATTGGAAGGCTGCAAACAATCTTATGCTTAAATTTAACATAAAGAAAAGTAAATAGTATTCTATTTTCGTTGTGCTAGTTTTCTGTGCTTTCGTCGAGAAAAGTAAAATTTTCCGCTTAGAGCTTACTAGCTAGTCACGCATGAAAAAGTCATGATTAAGCTTATACTAAATTAACCGCTCCTGGTTAGTATTCAAGCCAACTTATATAAAGGAGCCTTTAAGACTTCGCCTGTTTGGTAAACGTATTGAGATAAGTAAACGAATAAGCAAATGATAAATATGAAATCATTGCAGAAAAATATATTTAATGTCAAGAGGGCCCACCCCTCCCCCTCCTCCCCTAACCCCCAAACCCCACTGGGTATTTGTCAGGTTCTCCGTTGCCACGGTGGGGCATCAAGGTTTAAGGTCACTTCATTTCATGGTCAGATCATTCCATCTTATAGGCAGATTGTTCCACAGTTTCGGTGTAAAACTCTGCGTGAAGTGTGCTTTTTTGGCTTCTTCGCTTAAAGAATTAGGTATACATATGAGTAACACCCTTTTTTCTGCTTGTGGCTTAAAGACTTGTGAAAAATTTTGACTATATTGTGGAATGATGTGACTATTATTAGAAGAATCTGGATTGGAATGATCTGACCTTGACTGTAGCATGAAAAGAGAGGAAAAGTGTGATATAATGTTACCATGGTTGCAAAATTTCTGGATCTTAGCAACCTTTAAGATACTGTGACAGTGATGAATGTGTCCTTTAAAAAGCAATAGAGTACCAACGTGTGACGTCATAGAAAATGAAATTTGTGAAATTATGGGATTTGTTAAGATATTCTGAAAGAACAACGTCCAAGATGCCTACTCACCAAAAATTAGCAATTTGGGGCAGATTGTCTCTGAGATATTAGCCCAGTTATGCTTCGATGACGCCATGCAAATCCTTCTAAATCTTACCTGGTTCGTAATCTTATGAACCAAGCCATATTTAGAAGGATTTGTATGGAATGATGTCACAGCATAACTGGGCTAATATCTCAGAGACAATTTGCCCCGAATTGCTAATTTTTGGCGAGTAGGCATCTTGGACGTTTTTCTTTCAGAATATCTTAACAAATCCCATAATTTCACAAATTTCATTTTTATGACATCATCACTTTGGTACTCTATTAGGCCCTTTTTAAAACTCCAGCACGATTTTCTTAACTCACTTACATTGCAACTGAAGGATCTGAAGTGGGTACCTATTATGCATGGATATGTTAGTTGTAGATCACTTGTAAGCCACTTGCATTCTTTATTAAACACTAGCCATTTTTAAGTCAACAAAAGCTGATCAGAACTCCTGAGGTTGCTTGGCCTAATTTTAATGGAATCCATGTTTTCTTCTTTGCGTTCAATCAAAATATTTATCAATATACAGACTTCTATATTTTGGCACTAAAAATTAACCATTCTTTCTTTGTTTCTTTCTTTCATTTTCTTTCACAGAAAGAGATTCGTACAATGAGCCAGTGTAACCATGAGAATGTAGTGAATTATTACACTTCATTTGTTGTTAAACAGGAGCTTTGGATTGTTATGAGATTGCTGAATGGAGGTATGGAACACAAGTGTATATTCCAGATGCGGCAGAGTGTTTTGAAATGTGGAGTGGGGGGGGCATCTACCACTCAGCCATATGCATACCCCTACTCAGATTTTTTCAAAATGCTCTTTGCATTGTTCTTTGGCACAAGCAATCTTCACAGTGTCTAGTGTGTCTGTAATCAATTTGTGACAACAGTAGACAGTTGTCCTGGCAGTCCCAGGGTTCTCAATAGAAGGCGGCACCCGGCGATTGATCGCCGCTTACTTTGGGATTTATAGCCGCTTACTTTGTGTTTAAGTCGCTTTTCTTTGCTTTGTTTTGTTCTTCTGCAAGTTTGCTTGAGTTGTTTCCGAATCGCTCTTTCGTTTCTTGCACGACTGTGATCCAAACAAAACCGGATCGATGAACGCCATTTTACTAGACTCCAGGCCTTCACGGTGGAACATTGTAACAAGTCCGTATGTTCCAAAATGGCGCCAAAAGCGCCATACGTGGTGCAGAAAGAACTTACTAGTTTCTTTGGCTTCCCGCAAAGCGCATCGAAGAAAGCTAAAGGTAAGTTTAAAATTTTACTGTGCCTTGATATTGAAATATTAATTTTAATTCCTTAAGTGCCAGGACAAATTTTTTATCACTCTGAAAGCCGACGTATATGATAAGCCGTCAAGGCCTTACAACATCATGTACTATTAATAAAGTTTTTCAGTTTTTTCATCACTGTCATTATAGTTGTTTTTATTTCCTGGAACAAGCCTTACAGCATTTTATTTTTCAGGCATAGAACCTGAGCCCCCACCAACCCCAACAAATGTTGAAGAATGTGGTGAGCCTTCAAGTATTTACAGTTCTTCTTGTGCTGCCGGTTCCCCAAGCATGGAAAGTTCTTCCTCAAGCATTTCTCGACCTCTTTCAAGCAGTGCCAGTGGTTGTTCTTTACCAAACCCAGTTTTGTCCAAGCCTGTTATAGAACCATGTGAGATGAGAAAGTTAATCTCTGATACGTTTGACTTTATTGATGACATTTCTTGTGCACATCACTCATATTATCACTGCCTTGAGCAAAATTGTCAAAGTGTTAGCAATTCAGATGCAAGTTTATTTCATGGAAAGAAAGATAAATTCCAGCACAAATGGCTCTCTGATAAAGAGCTCACATACTGCCACCAGACTGGATTTTTTTGGCTTTTATATGCTGAAGGCAAGGGAATGTACTGCATTCTCTGCTCCAAGCACAAAACAAGAAATAAACAAAACCAGGCTGATATCTTTACCGGGAAACCTGGAACGAGATATAAGAAATCTGCATTAAAATCACATGCTGACTCTGATCGTCACAAGGCAGCCATTGAAGCAGAGCTACTGCAGAAAAATTCTCAGTTTGCTAAGGACGTGGCAGATAGAGCTGCTAAGGGAGACAAGACTATGTTCTCTGCTTTTATGTCAGCATATTGGCTGGCAAAACATGAAGTGGCCAACTCCAAACTTTTGTCCCTTCTTAAACTTCTTGAAACATCTGGAGTAGAGCATATGAAATATTTTTCATACAAAGGTGAGGAAACACTTCGTGATATTTTTCTAACAACTGGTGAAGTAATCCAAGATACAATCATACAACAAGCAACTCAAGCTGGATGCTATGGTATTTTAATGGATGAAGTAAGTGATATTTCAGTTCTGGAATTATTAGTAACTTTCATACAGTATGTTCATGACGGGAAGTGAAAACAAATTTCCTTTTGTTGAAGACCTCCTCAAGGCCTCCAGCTCAGCGGATGCAAACACTATCTATACAGTTGCCACAACAAAGCTTTTGTCTCTCAAACTTGAGCTGAATAAACTGGCATCAATTGTTACTGATGGAGCAAGTGTGATGACGGGCCATAAATCAGGTGTTGCTGCACTTTTAAAGGAAAGAGTTAACAAGTCCCTCATCAATGTTCATTGCTTAGCTCACCGTCTTGCTCTTTCATGTACAGATACTGCAAAGGATATAAAGTATATCACTACAGTTCAAAATTGGATGAAGCAACTGTGGAAATACTTTGAGAACTCTCCCAAAAGAACAGCACTTTACCTAAAAGTTCAAATTGAAGTGAAGAAATTGAGTGTGTCAGACAAGGTTAGCAAGAAAGCTCATAAGAAATTGAAGAAAGCTTGCTCAACGAGATGGCTTTCCTTTGATGCTTCAACACAAGCAGTGTATGCTGATTATGTAGCTATTCTCATTACTCTCTCAGAGTTATCAGCAAGTGATGCTACTGCTAAAGGTCTTCTACATGAAATAAGAACAACCAAATTCTTGGGAACAGTGTACATTTTGAAACAAGTTCTCCCAGAGCTCTCAAAATTGAGTAAAACTTTTCAGTACAGCAATACCAATTTCTCAACCGTGCAATCATCTGTTGACTACACAATTATTGACAGGTTGAAGAAAATTAAGAAGGAGATGACTCCACTCAAGAATGTTAAAGCTGATTTGGATCCTGTTAATGGAAGACTTCAACTCATCTCTGCTGTGCAACAGGACACAAGTAACCAACCAAGTACTTGTGACGATTCAGCTAAGCCATCAGTGATACAGAAGTTGTCAGAGCTTAGACCACTAGAAATGAACCAGGGAACAGAGAAGCAGCTGTCCGACCTGTTATCCAAGTACATCACATGTTTAGTATCCAACATCAATGACAGATTTCAGGAATCCTTGCCTGTTGTGAGTGCATTTCAAGTCTTTGATCCATTGCTAGTTCCAGATGTTGGAGGTGTCGGTTTTTCTGACTATGGTGAGATTGATGTGAAAACAATGGCAGACCACTTTTATTCAGAATCTGCTGTGAAGGCTACCCAGTTGAAAGACGAGTGGAGAAAATTCAAATATGATCTTGCAAACTGGAAGAAAGTCCCAGAGGAACTCAAGCCCAAGAAGAAGACAGCTCATGCACAATCAACATCTTGTACAGAAGGGACAACTGCCACCTCAGGAATGCAGCAGCAGAAAGAGCAGGCTAAGAAAAAGCCAGAAGTTAAGAAGAGACAACAATCGTCAACAGAGTGGTGTATGCAAAGGCTGATTACCTTGAAACAAGGACTTCAGTTTGGATTACTACCACAGATCGCAGAAATTGCAAGTTCTTTGCCTATGTCAAATGTCTGGCCAGAGAGAGGGGCAAGCTGTTTAAAGAGGTTGAAGACAAGGCTCAGAAGCCGAATAAATGTTGACATGCTTAATACTTTGATGCTAATCTCAATCAATGGCCCTGACCTTTATTCTCCTGAATGTAATGAATTGATTGAATCAGCTGTTCTTCTGTGGAATAACAAGAAAAACAGAAGGAAACTCCCTCCTAACGTTCCTGTTGAAACAGAATCAACTGTTTTTGTGGCAGTTCCACATTCAGTTGATTCAGCTTGTCAGACAGAAGCTTGTGAGACAGAGAGTACTCTGGAGGATTCTTTTCTCAATCAACAATCCATTTCTGATGAAAGTGATGTTATATTGGCATTGGGTCTATCTCGGGAAGAGAGTGAATGTGATTCTGACTTTTATTCCGACTCGGAGTTTGACTAACTTCAATTTCAAAATAGAACATGCAAACATCAGCAACGGTAAGGCTAGTAACTTTATTGTACTTCTCAGCTTCAGATAACGCTTTATACACTAACAGGTATAGGCATGCATTCTAGGAATATTCCGGACCGGGACCTTAGATGGTTTGCTTTGACACCTCTGGCTTTGCTGAAGAGCCTCCTACTTTATCAGTGATCACCTCCTACTTAAAAATCTATTGAGAACCCTGCAGTCCTACTTCATTGTGTTTCTTAGGTAGTTTTTTGAGTCGTCTGAGGGCAGAAAATGTTGGCTTTGAGGTAGCAGATGTCACAGGTACATTGTATTGTCAAATACATCCATAAAAGTGTTTTTTGACACCAAGCCCCCCCCAATTTTTATTTAGGGGGGCTACGCACCCCCCTGCCCACTGCTGTGCTGCATACATGCATGCATTACCATTTAAAGAGGCTGTGTCTCAGCTTTCAGGTTTGTTATGTTCATATTGCAGTCAGATCAATTTAGGTTTCCAGGAAACTGCCCACCTACCCCTCCCCTAAGTCAACATTAACACTTACTTCTCACTTAGGACAAAATGTTGGATTAGGGAAGGGGTAGGTGGGCAGTTTCCCAGAAAGCTGAACTATTGATCCTTGCATTCCAAATGTTCTTGTTTGCCGTGGAATTACTGAAATTACTTGGTCTTGAAAATGACAAAACCATAATGTCTCCTTAGCATTATCTCAAACCATATTCAAATGTTACAAGCAACAAAAATGACCCTTGAAAAAATGTAAGGCTAACAAGTTTTCAAAACCACAAGTCAAAAATAGATATTGCAATCTGTTTCACTGCTCGTCAAGTGTGTTTATCAATGCCTACCTTTGGCATTTACTGTCTTGTTTATTAACCGTCTTTTAACGTTTTGAGCAGTTAATTTCATGTTTCACTCAATTTGGTCACAGTTCTCACTGTTTCTGTTTTGCTATTTGTTAAATGATGCAGGGTCAATGCTTGATGTCATAAAGCACCAAAAGAAGAGAAGCAACTGCGAAGATGGTGTCCTAGATGAAGCAGTGATAGCATCAGTGTTGAGAGAGGTTCTTAAGGGTTTGGATTACTTTCACAGCCAGGGTCTCATACACAGGTACATTTTAAAGCGGTGGTTTACATAGTGACAACCAAATGTTAGAAAAGAGTATAGATTTCGCCTTGTCACGCCTGCTTCCTGATGTGTGTCAGTGTTCTCACTAAGACTTCAAGTTTTCGTGTAAATACAACAAGTAGGTAGGGAATCAAACAGCTAGGGATTTCTCTTCGTTCTATTTTTCTTCTATTTTCTAATGAAAGTAGCTGGGAACCACATTCATAGAAGTCGGGGGAATTAAATCCCCAAGCCCTGGCTCTTAATAGGGACTTTAAGATCCAATGACGCAGATGGCAACAAAAACGTCAAAAAAAGACAATAATTTAGTGGGTTTTTTGTACATTCTCAATTATTGGTTTAATAAGCAAAAAAAAACAACTTTGCAGGTGCATCATGCTTTTTCTGACATTTCTTTCTTGTTTTTGCATGACTAGAACGTGAAAATGCCTAATATTAATTTTTGCGCTTTATGGGGGACAAATTTTTATCTCTCTTTCTGAGATTGGATATGGTCCCTAACCCTTGAAAATCAGCTTCAGTAGGCTTCACCTACATTTGACAAAATAAGTAAGTGGGTAGCAAAAATTGCTATGACAGTCCTGGTGCCTCATGCCAGAACTTTTCATTTTTCTTGCCCATAGCAAATTACAATGTGTTGTCAGGCACCTCTACACCAACCATTTTAGATGCATGTTAACCTTTTGCTTTGTTGTTGCAGGGATGTTAAAGCAGGCAATATTTTATTAGCTACTGATGGAACAGTACAATTAGCTGGTAAGTTCTTGAAGTTTGTTTCAGTCCTTTACAGTACTGTTACAAGAGAGATCCTACTTCCACAATTCAATGTTTTGTAATTATTGCTGCAAATTTAGTGTTCTCTTTCTTTAAACATTTTTTAATAACCCTACTAAACAATTCTACAATAAGTTTATATAAATCAATGCAGCAAGCTTACTTATTAATATTTATGTAACCCTATTGTTTTTGTAGCAGTTTGTCTGCATCAACACATTATTAATTATTTTATTTTTATTCATACCAATTTTTTTAGACTTTGGTGTAAGTTCTGTGATCAGTGACTATGGTGACAGATCAAGACCTAAAGTGCGAAAGACGTTTGTTGGCACACCATGCTGGATGGCACCAGAAGTCATGGAGCAGGTACAAATTCTACATTCATGTTCCTCTAAGAGTCAAGCTCTAACATGCCACAAAATACAATCATCTGTATTTCCTATTTCACATTAAATTAAGCAATAAAAGATTACATAAATGTACACAAATTTAAGTGTATAATTTATTGATAAAACAACCGTGTACAATCCAATATGCAGCTAGCAAAATACAAATTTTAAGATTGGGAAGTTTGGACAGTTACTTAATCTTGCTTCCTATTGTCAGCTCATGGTTTATTCTGGTGATTGATTCTGTGTACTTTTCTTTTCTCTTTTTTTTTTCGGTCTGTAAACTTGTTGGAGTTCAAGTACCAAGTCCAGGGACGGCTTACTCGTAGTAATTGTTAATAACTTTGCGGAGTGATCTATTGTGAGACATGAAGGCTGTGCTCTAGCAGTGCCCGGGACCGAGCCTGGTGGGCCATAGCTGGCTCCTAACCTTTGCTCCTGGTTGACTGAAAAATCATAATTATCAATTTACCCTTAGAAATGTTATGCTGTCACCCTGGATTTTACAACTCAGAGCACTAGGCTCCTTTCAATATTTCTTAGGGCACAGTGTTGGGGGTATAATAAATTATCTGTAGTTCATACATGTAATTATACAATCAATAGAAAATAAGATTTGTCTATAATTTAGTTGTTTACATGTGATAGGTCCATGGCTATAATCACAAGGCTGACATCTGGAGTTTTGGTATCACAGCCATTGAATTAGCAACTGGCATAGCACCATATGCAAAATATCCAGCTATGAAGGTGAGTTGTAATTATTTTAGTGGTAAGAGTTCACTTAGAGAAAAAAGATGACATGTACATGTACAAGATTAAATGTACAAGGAAAAAATGAGTCCTTCGAGCTAAATTTTAGAGTTTTTGACCCCACCCCCTTAAGAAAGGGTGCAGCAGGACGTATTTGTAGTACATGTAGGTTTTTAATAGTGATTTTGACATTACTGAATACTTAGACTGTTTACAGTCCCTTATTTTTCCTCCAAGTTAATGTCAAGAAGAGTATGTCCTACTTCATTCCAACCAGAAGTCAATTCCTTCAATGTTTTATGTTGGCTCAGAGTGATCCAAAATAGTTAAAAATCAGGTGAAATCAAATGGTATAATGAAAGCATTTACAGAAATGGTGTCATGCCAATAACTTGTCAGTGTCAGCCTTCAATGTAACAAATATCTGTTGTCTAACAAGAAATCAGATGCCTGCATCACTGGAGCAACACACTACTTGAATGCAAGGAGTGTAATACTGTAAAGTTAACTGAAAATAACAACCCTCCGAAAGTAGCGATCTCAAAACTAATTTCCCTTTTTGCCAATAATAATGGATAGATAATTTATCCTAAACAACTGCCACACTGATCTGAGGTTTATTAATAATGATTACATGTATTGTACATTCCTATTCATAACTTTTAAAGTACAGGATATACATTAACTTTTTTCAAAAAGTATTCCTTTCACATTTTTTGCAATTTTACTTTTTGAAGTGCCCATGTGGAGTACGTTTTAGCCAGTCTGAAAGTAACGACCCCCTGATAGTAGCGAGCCTCCGAAAGTAGCGATAGCAGAAGGGTTCTAAATCCGAAAGTAACAAGGGTTGTTACTTTCAGAACTTTACTGTATTGCAACAGTCTGTCCATTTTTCTTACCTCCCCCTGCCCCCACCACCACCACCACTGTAAACCCTAACACCCATCCATGAAACCCACATGACTGATGACTGCCCATCATGGTAAAGACTTGATCTCCTCAATCTTAAGGAAAAAATAATTAATATGGTACTGTAAACAGTCTAATAACTAAACAATAAATATAGCTGGCATGAGAAAAACTCCTTAAATTTTCTTGTTCTATTAGGTGTTAATGTTGACACTTCAGAATGAACCCCCTTCCCTTGATACAGTGGCACAGAATGAAGGCAACAAAGAAGGCTACAAGAAGTACTCAAAAGTGTTCAGAAAGATGATAATTTCTTGTCTACAAAAAGACCCAGCACAGAGGTCTAATTTTTGTTGTTTATTTTATTATTTACTTTATTATTTCTTTTATTTTTCAACTCAGAATGGTCTATAGTGGATTTATTCTCGTTCTCTGTAATGGTAGATGTACTTTGTGGATAACTGTGCTAACTTGATTTGTTTTGTTTTGGTGCAAACTTTTCAGACCAGATGCGAGTGAGTTATTGAAGTTGCCCTTCTTCAAAAAAGCTAGGGTGAGTTTACAGCCTTCTGAAACATAATAATAACCTCTAAAGCAGGCCCAAAGGAAGTTTAAGGTACTTGTAATACAATGCAATAAAAAAGGAAACAACTACTAATAAACCTACTAAAATTATTGTTTCCTGTCCCATATTGAAGTGAATGTTATATTACCATTTATTATTATAATGTAAATAATCTAGTAGTCCAGGGCCCTGTTTCTCTATTAATAGTTGGTAACTTTACAGGTCTGAAATCCAAATTCTGATTAACTGAAGAACAAAAGACTGTTTCCTACAGTAGCTAAGAAATCAGTCCATTTTGTTTTCTGTACTGATTAGTTTTATCATTACATTGTATCAGTAAACCTGCATATATTGAAACTTTGATCTTTTATGCAAACAACTTGCAATGGCTTTTTGGGCCTGTTATCTATCAGGAGATTCAGGAATTGTGCCCTAGACCTAGGATACATGTCCATTTAACCCATGGGTACTTTAACCCATTTTGAACGAGATGCATGAGAAAATGGAAGGCTGCTCTGATCGCAAGAGAGGAGAAGGCCTGCAAGAAGTCAGACTTCGTACTTTTCTCCTTGCATTGTGTTCAAAAGCATTTTCTCAGATGATTTCAGTTCTCTGTTATTTTTAGAGCTTTCAATAATCAACTTGTAGACAAAAAGAATTCAAACTGAAATGCTCTTTAGGCTTTCATATCTGAATTCAAATCTCATACTAACCCTGGGTTATTGTAACCGCTCTTTGAACAACTCGACCCTGCGTTCAAATCCTTGGCCACACTTGTTAATAACCAAATGGTTACCTCTTCCGGTTATTTGGGATTTTTAATCCTGTCATGTTTTATTTACATTATTTGTTTCTAATAAGTAATTTTTGAGTGGTTACCTGGATAAGCTAATCGAACTTTTTCAATAAACAAACTCTTACATGTGTAACTTTTTTTTTTAATGACAATGGTTATAGTAGGGGTGTAGTTATAATAAAATAATGCTTACTGTAATGATGATGATAGTAACAACGTTATTATAATGACGATGAAACAATCATTGATGCAATTTTTGTGTAAATTTGTTAGGAGAAAGACTTTTTAGTGGAAGCATTAGTTCCCCTAATGCCTTCATTGGGTGAAAGATCACAAAAGGTAAGATGTTTTCTTTGATGCTTCTTCTACAATCAGTTAATGTCATAAGAATTCCAAGAAACTCTCCATTCAACACAAAATTGCAGAAGTTTCGGTTGGTATATCAAATGGAACAGATCATTTCGGTTGTCTTACCGGAATATTCGTGACCAGCTTTGAAGGTAGTCCACTTTGACCGGACAAAAATATCCCTTTCCATTTGACAAATTGTTGTCCCCAGTACCGCTCTTTTGTATCCTGGTTACAAGAACAATAACCAAGCGCGCGGTGGCTTGGTTCGGGTCTGTGCAACCTGAATGTACCGTTTCATTAGGCACGTGAAATTTCCGAATTTTCAAACCCTTGAATGGAAAGCGCCCCCAAACTCCTCAGTAAGCCCAACTGGCTGAGTCATTGACTTACATCCCTTTAAACCTTTTCTCCCAACAAAACCAATACATCATAGGTAAACAGTCTTGAGAATTGACAAAATGAAAAGGAGTTAATTTTCCAAGTTCTCAACGGACTCTTCAGGAAACTGTATGAAGATCAGTAGTGAGAATTTGTATGTGAATATTGGGGCTTAACAGTGCCACATGATGACCAGGGTATGACATTCAGTTGATTTATTTTTCTGATTGACTTTCTTCATTTTTTAGGTTAAACGAGTCCCAGGCTCCAGTGGGAGACTACACCGGGCTGCAGATGGCAGCTGGGAGTGGTCTGATGACGAGGGTCATAAAGACGGTGACAGTGATGACGGCAATGACGATAATAAGGATCAGAAAAAAACTAAGGTAAAAATTTATAATTGATATAAAGACATTTGTCTAGAGAAGGTCAGTAACCTGGGGCGTAGCTAGCTTGTCGACTATTTGTAGGCCTGGCTGACTTTCATTTCCACATATCCTGAAAATTGCACGCATGGCTAGTACGTCCTGACCTCACCAACACTTTCAGCTCTTATTAAGCTTTTTAGCTCACGCCAACAGCGCATAGTTTATTACAAGCACAGAGTTATCAAATCAAAAATTTGTAGACCCAGGCCTACAGGACTAAGGCCTGGCTACGCCCCTGGTAACTCTCCAGGCTTGCATGGTCTGTGATTGAAGAATGAAACAATATAGTTATTATTCAACAGAAACAATAACCCAAGCCGTAAAATAAATCAGGGAAGCTACTGCCTCTAGAGGCCAATGAAAATACAGGTCTCAAATGGAAGAGCTACTATACTACTCTTTGTCAACGGTAGCTAGTTACGTTGTTGATAATGTTAGTCACAACCTGTTTCGTTCTGACAGAGTACTGCTGTTCTCACACACTTCATTTCCTGCTCTTTAGCAAGCTTAGCTGACAACGAAAAAGGATGTCGTCGTTGATGGTGCCGACTTGGTTTTCCCAAAGTGAATAGAGTGGAATGGTTATAAAGCCCGTTAGACTCCTTTGTTATATGTTTTAGTGGGCTTAAGCAACGTTCAATAGTATTTCTATCATTGTCATCTTATTGACCAGTTAAAACGTCTCATTAATATATTAAGTGTTGAGAAAATCTCCTTCTCGTAGTTGTTCTCGTCTTAGAATCCAAGGTCTCTAATCTCGCTAGAACTTGACGGCTATCATGTTTTCCCGCCAAAATGGTTCACGCGCGCGCACTGCTTAGCGTTGAGAAATTCTCATGATCGTTCCCGTCTTAGCATCTAAAGTTCTCTACTGATTGGTGCACCACGAACTTAACTCATAGGTGAGGGGATTCAATTCTAAGCATTCTCTGTTCCCTGTGACAGACTTAAAAGTTCTGAATCAACTGTTTTATTAAAATTATTAGTGTGGCAGTTTTGTTACGGGGATTGTGCATTTACTCTTGTTATGTTGTTTAAAGGAAAACCGCCCCAAGGCAGAAGGCAAGAATGTTGAAGTTCAGCACCAACCAACACCGACAACACCCAAACCTCGTAAGTACAAACGCACTTGCGTTATGAATCCCCTTTTTAATGTTCTTTTCAGGGATCATTGATGTCAGGCATTCTCTAGTTGTTCGTGGGCTAAGCTTTGCTTTTACTCGGTTTTGGGTCCCACTTTCCGCTCGGTAAATAGCATCTATCATTTATTCAAAATTTTTCTTCTTTTTTTATTTGCTTCAACCACCAATTAATCCTGCTAGAGTAGGCAAATTTAAAAGATTTTTTTTTCTATGATTCAACGTTTGATCTCACCTAAACAAAATATTGGACAATTGACGTCTTGCAAAGACAGAAGAGAGGTAAATAGGCTGTTGGTAGTGCATGGATGGAGAATACGAAAATATGAAGAAAATTTATAAGTATGGATCAGAACATTTTTCTAGTATCTTGAATTTCAGCTGCCATAATAGCGTCCCGTGGACCTAGGTGAAGAGAGCGAATTTTGCAGGAAAAAGATCTTATAGACCAGGCCTCGGTTTTTTAAACTTTAGATAGTACTATCCACCGGATAGATCACTGTCGTACGTTATAAGTATCAGGGAAACCAATTGCGCTATCCAACCTATGGAGATTTATCCATTGGACATAGGGTTATACACCTTACCTTTTTCACCAACTGGAGCCTGATATTTAATGCGTTGTGACGTGACTACTGACTTGCCATTTAATGCGTTGTATGTCTTTTTTGTCTCATGTCAGCGACGCCCTTTATCGATGAATCTCTTCAAATAACTTTTTTAGATTCTGGTACTGATTCTGGTTGCTTTTCCGGACTGAGTAGTTTCGTCCTCCAAAATAAGGATGCAATTATCAACATTATTATTTGCTGAGTGTTGTGCTCTTGAGCCATGTTCCTTGACTCTCCATTTTTGTTTTCTAAATGAGATCTATTTTCCATTTATTCACTTCTGCAGCTCCGCAAATTAACCTGGATCTTACTCTAAGACTAAGGTAAGTATTTCAATCGTTATTTGCTACAAATCGCGCGGCTGTGGTTTGTTAGCTGGCTAAAGGACTGTGTTTCACGGCAGCATTGTCCATTTTGTTTTGTTCCGCTACGAAATAACTCGCTACGAAAGGCTTGTTTGCAGAGGAAAGTGCACTTAGTTTATCCAGCTAGTTTACAGGCACTCCACTCAAATACTTAGAGACAAATAATTCAAATACAACATAACAGGATTAAATACCCCCCAATGGGAGGTGCGAACCTGTTGGCTATTTACTAGCGTGTCCGAGTCGTCAGAGCGGGACTAGAACCCGGGGACCGCCGGATTGCGAATCTCGTTGACGCGCTGACCACTTGCCCACGCTGCCTCATGCGAGTGTGAGTATAAATGGAGAAATTACTTCTAAATGACAAAATAACCGTTTCGTTTCATACATGATAATATGTCGCTACTAGCGCTAGAATTAAACGTTGCAAATGACAGAGAACAGAAATTGAAAGGTATTACAGTTTTCAGAAAACCTCGATTGCGGCCCGTTTTATTTTCATCAGTTTCGTCCATTGGTATTTGCTCAGCCGTGTTAATTAAATGTTTGGTGACTGTGTTTTCTTTCTTGTTAGTGTGGTGTATTTTTTGTTTGTTTGTTTGTTTGTTTGTTTGTTTTGTGTTGTTTTTCTTCACGCAGTTTTGTGGCTTCTTCCTAGCGGCGCGATTTGGCTGAAATCAGCCGGTACGAACCTCTCTCCTTCAAGGCACCCAGTGGGATTACTTGCTCTGCACTTGTATTTCTTGTCGTTCAGTTAATGTTCATCAGAGTATAACATAACTGCGCGTCCGATCAAAATATAAACTTTTTTTTAAGTTATGTCAACATTGCGCCATCTCCGCCTTAAAAGAGAAACATGTAATTGAAAAGCCGAGAACCTGTTTGACCTTCAAACAATGCAGGTTCAGGATTTTGGGTTTTGTTTTGTTTTTTTCTTCGCAGTATTTCACCAACTGTTATCTTTTTTATTACACAGGAATGCCAAGAAAGAATTGAATGATATCAGATTTGATTTTACCCCCGGAAAAGGTAAGCAGAATGTTTCCATCTATCAAGAGAGGTTGCCTCAAGTATTGACAGCCGTGTCTTATAAGAATTAATTCTTACTCTCAATCCTCCCTTTCGAAGAAAAAAAAAAAAGATAGGCCTTTGTGATTTAACTTCAACTTGTATGGTAAGCCTGCTTGGAGGAACATCAATGTGATTGTCGGTACATTTGCAAGCAAGTTGGAACTGATTGCGGAGGAACAGTGCAATGCTTGGAATTCCTTTTTACTTTGTTCGACAGCATTTAATGTGGTCCCCAAGTTGTGGGTTGCCTGTGATTCGTTGTAGCTCAAATAGCTTGCCCAGCACTGCGTTAACGTATTGTTGTTACTACAGAGGGGTGCATTTGTGTTTTATTGACTGGCCAATCATTTCCATTCACTAGATACACCCGAGGGTGTCGCACAAGAACTGGTATCCGCAGGTTTAATAAGTGGACAAGATTTAGTAGTCGGTAAGGAGTACTTCTTAAAACGGATTTACTAGCCTGCAGTGCAGGCGTTTTCATCATGCGCGAATGATTTTAATCACGAAAGCGCCATGTTGAAACTCCCGAAGAGAGGAGGAAATGGGGCGAGTCAAGGGAAGGGGCGGGGAGAAAGAAGAGAAATATTTTTCTCTCCTCCCCCTCCCCCCTCTCCTTTTTTTGCCCTCACACCTACCCTTAGGGTTACTATCATATTTCTACTCTCCCCAATCTTCCTCCGTCATAAAATCAAAGATGGCGGCTTCATCGTAGCGATACGATGAACAAGCATTCGTTCACCCAAAATACGCCTGCACTGCAGGCTACGTATTTACCCACTCGTTAATACATGCAACGGAAAGGAAAAACGATATTAAAAAAAGAGCGATAATCAACATCAACGACGACGACAGCAATAATTTAACTTTACCATTCCTCAATCATCTATTTATTATACAAACAACTAGTAATAATAATTTTGATATACACAATCTAAATTCATCTATGTACAAATAGAACATGCTTATTTAAAATATGTTTAAATTAATAATGGTAATAGGGCTGGGGGGAGTCCAATACGGTCCGCGTAGCGGGAGTTGGATTTGTTTAATCACGAGTATGATTACAGATCGAATTGGACAACACGAAGTTCTGTTACTCTGGACTATAGCAAAATTTGTGATTTTTTTTAGGCCTTTTTAAATAAAAGAACAAGAAATTCAGAGAGTTTCTTGCTAGCAGTGAAAAAAAAGCAATTGAAGAGCGCGCGCGATATCCGGCGCGTACTGTCCAATTACTTAGGCATGACGCGTACTGTCCTATTACACTGTCCTGTTAGTGCTGAAATCAGGACAGTTGATAGCCAATCAGATTTGAGAATTTTGTCATAGTTATGATTAAAGTAAGAATATCCTTGGCGCTTCTAACATACGTGGGTAAAGAATTCCAAAGTGTTGCTGCCAGAAATGAGAATAATTTGTGGCACCACTCTTAATTAAAATTGTGTAGCATTAAAAGTGTGCCCGACCCTCCTAAATTATAATTACAGACTTAATTTAAAAAATTCTTCTGCACAATTCTTACGTAGATAAAATAGAGGCAGTCGCGCGTAAACTTAAAAGTTGAACCATGCTGTACCTTTATATTTGCATCATCTCTATTTTATTTACGAGAAGGTAAAAAAGCTATGGGTTTGATAAGCGAAGTATCAAGTTTCGCACGTGCAGCACGCTTTTTGGTACATTTCTTTGCCGTCCCTGCATGACCACGAAATCTAATGCACGATACGAGAATCGCGTAGCACACGCGGCGCGATTCTTATCGCGCGGGGAACTAGTCGCGACTTGCAACTTTTGAGCAGTACTGAATTGCTACTCTTGGATAAGCTTAGACAGGGAAGCACTTAAAGGAACAGTATCCCGTTACTGCGCATGCACCAAACTTTGATTTTTGGACAGGATGTCGCGAAATCAAAAGATGCGAGGAGAGTAAGAGAATCTTGAAAAATCCGTTTACATCGCGCTTGGCCGGGTTCAATACGACACTAAAACTTCTCAGGATTATAGATCAATGATATATTGTTCCTGTTAAGTTTTCATTTGGGCAAAATCTGGATTTTTTGGCGTTTCTTTTATTGCCGTTGGCCGGAGGACCAAAAGATTGGAAGCACTTTGATGCCGATTGAAGGCTTATTTCTTCTGCTAGCTTCCATACAAGCTCAGATAATTGTGAAAGGAATACGCAGAAATGAAACAGCAACAATAAAGACTGTAAGAAAGAAACCGTTGAGACATTGATGTGACTGAGGAGATCTTGTGGAGGGGAGCTTCGAGAAGCAGAATGTTTTGCAACGACGCGTCAGTAAACTTTTAAATGAATCTCCCCACGGCCGACAAAATCGAACAAACAGTCGCTACATGTTTTGAAAAACTAGTGACATGAAATCATAATATCATTTTTGACTAACCTTTGTGATGATTCATAGCGTTGAGATTGCATTTTTATTTATGTCTTTCAAACGTTTGAGGCTAGAACGCGAGCAAATCAGGCAGACTTGGAGCGATTGACCTCTGACTCGAGTTTCAAATTAGAAAATATGTTTTTAAAGCGAGCGGAACGAGATTTTCGGGTCGCGAGACGGCCCAGCTAGCGATAAAATCGCGATGAGTCTTCGAACTGCGAGCCAAATTTTTATATAAGACGAAAGACTTCTTCGAAAGTCTAAAATATTACTTGAGAATATAAACAACAAATCTCTGTCGGCGGTGCGGTCCGGAAGGAAATCTTGTCGAGTCAATTTGACAGTTCCATTGTCTTCTGAAGAAAAAACAGATGATGCTCGCGCGTGCGCATAATCGGGACACTGTCCCTTTAAGTCGCATGCCGCAAAACCATTCTGCTGACGGTCGGTAAATCTGGGTGGTTGAACGAAAGATCTTTGTACTTCGGTTGAACTATCAAACTTACAAATAGCCTATTCTAGGCTCCAAGAGAGTAGGGAAAGCGCATAGAGAAAAGTTGTGAGAAAACCGCGGGGAGCTGGGGAGAGACAGGGAAGTGGACCGGAAGCACTGTTTTCAAGGCGGTTGTTACTTTTCTAATCTGCGGCACGTTTGCGGTGACAGTTTTCACGCTTTGCGGAGTCCCGGACTTTCCGGGGTGGAAATGAAAATTTATGAGAGATCGTTGTAAGTCCTCCTTTCCTCGGCCCCTCGCTCGCTCGTTCTCGCGAGGCTCGCTTCGCTTGCCCAAATAGGAGAGCTTGCTCGCAGGCTATCCTGTTTTCAATACTTCATTCCAGTATACCAGCTCTTGGTACCCTACGATTGGTGTTTTTTGGGCAGTTGACGTCAACCTCGTTAGTTGCTTAGCTTCGCGCACGTAGAGACAAAGAAAACGCATAGCGAGCGTGTGAAAGCCTCCTACACAACAGATTTTGACATTTTAACATTTTTCGTTTTAAAGTTGGCGGGGTTGTGGGCAGACTGTGGTATTTGCAAAAATGCTTACGGGCTCTCCTCTTCTCTCTTCCCGCCGCTTTTCGCTCGCTTGCCTTTTTTCGCTCGTCTACTCTGAACGAGAGCAGCTATAGATTTGCATCGAATGAAAAAGCCGAGGCTGTTCGCTAAATCACTTGCTTTTACTTCCTTGCGCCAATGACATCTAATACTTTCTTTATTTCGAAATGCTGTTTGTTTGGGTTTACTTGTAATCATTTTAATATGAACGAAAATAACCTGTAAGTGAAGTTTTTCTCGTACTAGAATTTCGTTTCAGGGATTTTCGTCCGTTACATTATTTATTTTTCTTTATCCTTTTCAGTTGCCGCTAATCTTAAAAAAGTAATTGATGATCCACCAAGCAGTAAATCCATGATGTTTCCATTGGTAAGTATTGCAGTTCACCCTTGCTTAATATTTTCATTCCCTTCATGGGTTTACAGACCGACAAATTTCCCTTTCTGCGCTCTCCCCCCCACCCCCTCCCCCCCCCCCCCGCCTCTGTATCTATCCTCACCGGGTTCTCGGAAAGTACCTCACCCTGTGCAGATTCACCTGATCGGGATTTGGGATTCACCTGATCACCGCAGTGTCGGTAATAAGAGGTTAAGTTTATAGGAATTTGCTCGCTGGGGCCGAGACAGTGTCCGTTGTCAGTATTAGAGAGGGTTTTTTTTTTCAAAGAAAATATATATGAAAATTTTGTCGGGACATTGGAAACTGTCCGTACCGAGAGGTTCGAATGTACGTTAACCTTACACTACCATACCGACCCGCCAAAATTCCGGCGAAACGTTTAAGTAAATATCTAATAAACTGTCTTTCATAACTGATACTCTTTATCATGCGACCCTAGCCTTTCTTTTCTTTAACTTTTAACGTAAATTCAAGTTGGGCTTCAGTAGACGTCGTTCTTTCTAAGAATGTTGAAAAAATGTATTATTTTCCTTAATGTATTTGTAACTTTATCCTGGGAATATATTACATCTGTAATAACTAAATACTAATTTACCAATTTATCGATCGGTAAAAATGGCAACGACCGTATACGAAAGGGAAGTCATGGGAAGTGGGCCGCGGGGCCTGACACTGCGTGCGCGAGAGGTCATACGTGACTCACATCTGTAATAACTACATACTTAGTTACCAATGGCAGGATCAGCTAACCGTGGCAGGATTAGCTCAGTCGGTAGAGCGTTTGACTGCAGAGCGGGAGGTCGCGGGTTCGAATCCCGGGGCCGGACCATTACTCAGGGTCTTAAAATGACTGTGAAATGAAGGTACTTCCTTTGCACTGCAAGCGGCGAGACCTTCGCATGGCTCGGATGACCACGTAAAATGGCGGTCCCGTCTCCATTAGGAGAAGTAAAAATAGTGTCCCCAGTTAGCACTTTCGTGCTAAATACATTGACACTCAAATGAAAAGTGCAAGTGCAAAGTGCAATGGTGGTATCGATCGGTAAAAATGGCAACGACCGTATACGAAAGAGAAGTCATGGGAAGTGGGCCACGCGGCCTGACACTGCGTGCGCGAGAGGTCATACGTGACTCACCTATGTGGTTAATGGAGAGCTTGTACGCAAATTTTCTTCCTGAAACAGTCCTCCGACGTTTCGTTAAGTAGCTCGTAGCTTATAGGAATTTTCTGCATGTCACTTAAATATTTGATAACTTTCTGTTTCAGAAATCAAGCAGCAATTCAAATGAAGTTGTGGACGACAAAACTTTAATTGGATTCGCTCAACTTACGATAAACTCTTAGCACTTTATAGCCACGAAAATCATCAGTCTCTATCTTTAATTCGTTTGTATATGCGCCCTAGCCTCCAAGTGGTAATCTCTTTTCGCAAGGGCACAGTGGATAGCCTGCATCGGAGACACTCTAAACTGTCTGTATAGGGAAATCAAAACCAATGCATGGGCCAGCTGCCATGCTGGCTAATTACAGTGGAATGCTGTGGCTCTCCTTGCATTTACAGATATTCAGACGCCGATCATTTCACGTGCGTAAAGGAGACGTGTCACAAAATTCAACTAAATTCAGACAGTAAGAATTGGCACCTTATTGGCTGAAACATTAAACAACCCCTTAATGCAGTAAAAGAAGGTTTAAATAACAGCAAATACAAATGAAAGTGCAGATCATTGGCGGATTTAGATCTTCAAGAATGTAAGATAGGCGGGGGGAGGGGGGGGGGGATGAGGTGATTTCTCTTGGCTCTGTAGGTCTAGAAATAAAGTAGGGTCCAGATTTCTCTGTTTGTCCGGCCATGAAGTTGAAAAATCATAAAAACAAACAACCAAAAACAAATGAGCCGCCTAAATTTCACATTACAGTGTTGCAATAAGCATGGTTTTGCTTATAAAACAAAAGGGGAATGATTGTACATTAAAGATTTGTATTCCATGGCATTTAACAATATTCAATGCATACGTGTACATCATATCAAAATAATTGCGTCGAGGCTATAAATTTTCAAAAACTAAATCAAGAAGCTACATTAAAGCTATTAGTTGTTAAAACGGAGAGAATATTTTTAATAAAACAACAGTTTCAAACTTCTTTTATTGATCACCCTGTTTTCATAGAGTAATTAAAGCAAGTCGTTCTTTCACCAAACTCTGAGGCCATTTTCACACAAGTTACCCGGTAGATAAAAAACGCGTTTGCTTATTCTCTACTTTGGAAAGATCCGCTTCTGTTGACCTCTATATTGTTCAATAGACGCTTGTTTGTAAGCGTTTTCAAAAAAAAGAAAAGAAAACTTTTGTGTCCTGTATATGGCCTGAGAGGTCTGGTGTACATCAGTAGAAGCAGTGCCCAACCATCCTTCGCGCTTGTGCTCAGCGAGGGAGACGCTTAGTTATGAGGTCAAATACTGTGCCTCTGTCCTTTGAACTGAACAAACACCAATTCACCAAACCTTTATTCCAAAAAAAGAGGGTAGTTGAGAAGAAGTTGTCTCACATGAACAATTTGGCACCTGATCTAGTTATAAAAGAGAGGAAGTGCCAGTTGGGTAGCCTGCGTAACTGGCGGTATTGTGTGGGTGCGAGATTAAAGTTTGGCAGCGGAGCCGTGTTCCTCACCGCTCGTGACGTCTCCGCCGTCAAATCTCACTCGACTATATTACAACGGCTCTGCCGCCAAATCTCACTCGACTACTACACAATACCGCCAGCTACGCAGGCTACAACTGGGTGCCCTCTGTACAGCCTCATCAAACATTCTTTGCCAGACCTTAGTTAAACCATGAAGTGGTTGAAATCGTTGACCTATTTCTCTGTTGTTTGTGAGGTTTTTGCCCTTAACCATAAATAGTGCTAGCCTTTTAGCGTGCGTTTACCTTGGTTCCCCGGCACTGATGCCCGAGTACTTGTGGGCACTAATGCGAACACACCTTTGTTGAAGAACCCGCGCTAGAATTCGGGCACGGTTTACAGTGCCCGAGTACAAGGTCTCGACCTTGTACTCGGTGGGCACCGGGTCCCTGTGGGCACGTGTTTTCCGTTGGTTCCGAGGACTTTTACTCACAGTCAACTTCTTCTCTCCTTTTGCAAAAATGGCATCTGCTGATGGAGCAAATTGGACGAAAGACAACTTGGGTACTGAGAGTGTGAACAAAGCACCATTAATTTTGTACCGTGCCCGGGAACTAGTGCCCTGGCACTAAATATGAACACATCCTTGGACTCCTTCAGATATGCTGATATCATCGGGAGACCATGTACATCAATTACTTCAACCATGTTAGACTGGAAGATCAATAGAAATGTTCCATGAAAATATATATTCACTTAAAAGTGTGTGGTTTTTAAAACATCAGATTTGTGCTCTGCCCAGTAGAGCATCTGGCAGAACCGGAGGGGAAAAGGCTCATCCAGACCCTAGCAGGGGAAGGGAGGGAGGGGTCTTGAAAGAATTGTTTCACTTAAAAAATGAGGGTGAGGGAAGGTAGTCATCCTGTGTAATTTCCCCCAGATCCACTGAAAATTAAAATTACTCAATTTCCTGGTGGATACAGTCTTAAATTTAATTTTTCAACCCAGGATAAAAATAAACCACAAAAAAAACATACCTCTCTGTCTTGAGCAAATTTTATTGATTTCATAATTAATTTGGTATTTGTTTACACTTATAAAAGGTGATGCCTGCAGTCTTCTCCACTCCATCCACTATAGCAATGACAGCTCAAAAATTTCCATTGATCAGACAAAAAATGTAGGTTAACCTCAAGACTTGATGCTTTGAAATATAAATCAGGATTTAACTGAAATTTGCACCTTCCATGTAAATTGCAAAACTCCTGACTGCAATTCTGCGCTATGGCAGTGATGCTTTTAACAAGAGGTCCCAGAAAATTGTCAATGTAGTTCTTTATTTCAGTGCAGTCAGTTTTGGTGGCCTCAGAATGGTGGTCTCCCCAGATTACAACCCCAGCAGTTCCTTGTTCTGCAGACTGTACTATTGTTGACATTATATCAGCCTGTCAATTAGATAACAACAATAACAATGCTATACCTTGAAAGTGGTGGAGAGGGTGTGTTTTGGAAGGAGGGAGGAGGTGGAGCAAGCAACTTGGCTGCTGGGAGTAGGCCGTTTGCAACTCACAATGTCATGTGAAAAGAAATCAATATTATGGCTTGAAAGCCAATTTTGACTGGGTGATTTGCACAAAAGACTAAGATTGTAATGGTTTGTATGGGAAAAAAACTGCTGGTCCACAAGACAATGTAGTGCAGCAACTTTCTACATTGATCCTTGAGCCATGAACATTATTTTATTAACATTATTTTATACATGCATTTACGAAATGGACTTTATAAGCATGAAGCAATACTGACACATGCACATAATTATGCAATATTGGCCAAGGCCTGGATACAGGCCAAGTTTTTTTAAAATATGTCATCAAGGCCAATAAAAACAAGCACAAAGAAAAAAAATTGAAGCCAACATCTACCCATCTTGGCCAAACAAGTCCTGCTAAAATTTACAATCAAAGAGAATTTATAATAATTATGCTTTTAATCTGGGTACCCATACAGCAAATCCTAAGAAGGCATGATAGGCCCAGAGACTCCAGTATACACACAGTGTAGCTCAGTAGTTAAAGGCTCCAATTTAGCACTTGAAGGGTCATGCGTTCAATTTTCACCTACATGTAGACTGCGAGCAGTCTCTTGATGTTTTTCTTTTGAGACATGGAAGAATGCGAGGACATTATTTCAGCTTTTTGCTCACTGTGGGTGGCTCTGAGGAAAGAAGGACAACTGCTTGCGGTCTAATTTTCACCTGGAGGCTCTCGAAATTTGTTGTGGGCTTTCTGGTGTAAAATTTCTCCAATTCTTCACAATTAATTAGGAGACAGCATGACCAAGTGGTTAAATCGCTGGACTTGCAATTCAGAGGCCCCACATTCAAGTCCCTCCATGACCACTAGCTGGATTTGTTCTTAATTGGTCAGGCGAGGATCTAGTATAAATACTGAACGATTTCCTATTAATGACGGGCTGAGGGAGCAAGCTTCTAGGGGAGCCCGGGGGAATGTAACTCTGGGAATTTTTTTTGGAAGTTCTCTTTCCCAGGTTTCAGATTTATTGAGGGCACATCTAATGCTCAGAAACTGGAAAAAGAGAATATTTGTCCAGACCATTTTGCAGATTTCTACTTGAAAAGTTCTATCATAGTTGAAAATATATTTATCATGAAAAATCTGACCAATTTTCGTAAAAGGGTGGAAACTGGTGTGGATCCCAACCTGTTGGTTAATTGTCCTGAAATCAAATCCTCGACCATTCTTGAAAATACAATGTAGCCAGCTGGTTTGCCTTAGGCCAGTTAATTGTTGGGGTCTTAACACCATTATGTTTGATTTAAATTATTTGTTTCAGGCATTTACCTAACCTCACTTACAAGCACTAGTGCTTATAAAAATACCACTGAGGATAAACATTAATTGACTTACCACATTGAGGTACACCTGGGATACTGCATATGTTATTCGAACATACGGGAACACAGGAATGGGACTTCCATCCAACTTCTTAGCGAATCTAAAGCTTTCCAGAAGCCTGTACTTCACAAACAATGTGCCATTCAGTTTTGCCTTGTCATGAAGATATATTGATGGAAACAGCACTGAACTCCACTCAAACAACCAAGAAATTTGATCATTGTACTTCATGGTGACTTGACTGCAATTGTCAGCATCTTTGTCATTGTAACAATTTGGAAATCCATAAAATCCCCACAAGGACTTTGGGCGAAGTTTCTGAACAAGCAGCAAAGTTTCTTCCATGAATTCTCGGGCTGCTGTTTCAAACTCTACTCTAGCTATGTCTTCAACTAAACTATCTGGCCACAAAGGGTGTTTCTGTTTGACCAGTTCCATAGACTTGTTCCTACAAATTGAAAAATAAGCAATTTTGTCATTTTGCATCACTTAAGTTCTCTAAGTGCCAACTTATACTTAACTCCAGAATTAACAAGGACAAATTTGGTCATTAATTTTCTCTCTTTTCATTCATTCATTAATTCATTCAACTGAATCAATTGATCGATGGAATGGATGAGTTTGATTTTTATTGATTGATTCTGATTTTAGATATACCAATGCAATCATTCATAACTATAAATTATTCACTTAGTTGGTCTCAGGCAATAAACTGGAATTAGGTGTTCTTCAGTTTACAACTGCAGTAACAAGATCGTACCAACACCAAAAATTCAAATTAATCTTAATCTTCTCTGATTTTGTTAAAATAATCTGGCAAAAGTGAATTGGACAAATTGCAATAATTGAAATTCTTCACTGAGGAGAAACACAACCAAGCCTATCTTAGATTAATATTACTAATGTAGAATACCCATAATGAGCCTCTGAATGGGTACCTGTGGATGCCAATTTTGTCACGTGCTTTCCACCAAATTAGCTTTTTGGGGGGTGAAATATTCAATAATATCAAGAACAAATTTTGCGTGGTAAATTATGCTACTAGTGAGCTTAGTGCAACCACAACGACGCTGGAAACGAGAAAATCAAGAAAGCAACAGTTTTAATAAGCAAAGCAAAAACTCGGATTATTTTTGGGCAGATTTTTTACCAGTCTTGATTGGAATAGGAATGTGATCGGTGCTTTAATCCCTAAGATCTTTGCTTCATTAACAGCAAGTGTCGCGACTTTGATTTCTTTGGAAATAGTACCCTATATAAAGGCTCAACAATCAAAGTGTTCAACTATTTAAAGACAGAACAAAATTCTGACAGACCTATAGATGGAGAGTTTATCCCAGTTTCTGTCAAACACAGGTCTCCAGTATTCCCAGTCAATCACACCAATACCTTGAAATTCATTATCAGGAATGATATTTGCTACATCTTGCTCTACTTTTAATAAGTGTGCTGTAAGATTTCCAAGCTATCACATAAAAAGAAAAAAAAAGACCACTGTGTAC